AGTAGTGGGGGGGGGGGGTTGAAGAGGGTTGGAATAGTTTTAAAAATGCAGTATTAGAATGTGGGGGAGAAGTTTGTAGTTATAGGAGGGTGGGGGCAGGAGGAAAGAGGAGTGATTGGTGGAATGATGAAGTAAAGGGTGTGATAAAAGAGAAAAAGGTAGCTTATAAGAGGTTTTTACAAAGCAGAAATGTTGAAGAGCAGAGTATATGGAGAGTAAAAGAAAGGTGAAGAGAGTGGTGAGAGAGTGCAAAAGGAGAGCAGATGATAGAGTGGGAGAGGCACTGTCAAGAAATTTTAATGAAAATAAGAAAAATTTTTGGAGTTAAACAAGTTAAGAAAGCCTAGGGAAAGTATGGATTTGTCAGTTAAAAACAGAGTAGGGGAGTTAATAGATGGGGAGATGGAGGTATTAGGTAGATGGCGAGAATATTTTGAGGAACTTTTAAATGTTAAGAAAGAAAGGGAGGCGGTAATTTCATGCACTGGTCAGGGAGGTATACCATCTTTTAGGAGTGAAGAAGAGCAGAATGTAAGTGTGGGGGAGGTACGTGAGGCATTACGTAGAATGAAAGGGGGTAAAGCAGCTGGAACTGATGGGATCATGACAGAAATGTTAAAAGCAGGGGGGGATATAGTGTTGGAGTGGTTGGTACTTTTGTTTAATAAATGTATGAAAGAGGGGAAGGTACCTAGGGATTGGCAGAGAGCATGTATAGTCCCTTTATATAAAGGGAAAGGGGACAAAAGAGATTGTAAAAATTATAGAGGAATAAGTTTACTGAGTATACCAGGAAAAGTGTACGGTAGGGTTATAAGTGAAAGAATTAGAGGTAAGACCATGTAAGATTGCAGATGAGCAAGGAGGTTTCAGAGTGGGTAGGGGATGTGTAGATCAAGTGTTTACATTGAAGCATATATGTGAACAGTATTTAGATAAAGGTAGGGAAGTTTTTATTGCATTTATGGATTTAGAAAAGGCATATGATAGAGTGGATAGAGGAGCAATGTGGCAGATGTTGCAAGTATATGGAATAGGTGGTAAGTTACTAAATGCTGTAAAGAGTTTTTATGAGGATAGTGAGGCTCAGGTTAGGGTGTGTAGAAGAGAGGGAGACTACTTCTCGGTAAAAGTAGGTCTTAGACAGGGATGTGTAATATCACCATGGTTGTTTAATATATTTACAGATGGGGTTGTAAAAGTAAATGCTAGGGTGTTAGGGAGAGGGGTGGGATTAAATTATGGGGAATCAAATTCAAAAGGGGGAATTGACACAGTTACTTTTTGCTGATGATACTGTGCTTATGGGAGATTCTAAAGAAAAATTGCAAAGGTTAGTGGACGAGTTTGGGAATGTGTGTAAAGGTAGAAAGTTGAAAGTGAACATAGAAAAGAGTAAGGTGATGAGGGTATCAAATGATTTAGATAAAGAAAAATTGGATATCAAATTGGGGAGGAGGAGTATGGAAGCAGTGAGTGTTTTCAGATACTTGGGAGTTGACGTGTCGGCGGATGGATTTATGAAGGATGAGGTTAATCATAGAATTGATGAGGGAAAAAAGGTGAGTGATGCATTGAGGTATATGTGGAGTCAAAAAACGTTATCTATGGAGGGAAAGAAGGGAATGTATGAAAGTATAGTAGTACCAACACACTTATATGGGTGTGAAGCTTGGGTGGTAAATGTAGCAGCGAGGAGACAGTTGGAGGCAGTGGAGATGTCCTGTCTAAGGGCAATGTGTGGTGTAAATATTATGCAGAAAATTCGGAGTGTGGAAATTAGGAAAATGTGTGGAGTTAATAAAAGTATTAGTCGAGGGCAGAAGAGGGGTTGTTGAGGTGGTTTGGTCATTTAGAGAGAATGGATCAAAGTAGAATGACATGGAAAGCATATAAATCTATAGGGGAAGGAAGGCGGGGTAGAGGTCGTCCTCGAAAGGGTTGGAGAGAGGGGGTAAAGGAGATTTTGTGGGCGAGGGGCTTGGACTTCCAGCAAGCATGCGTGAGCGTGTTAGATAGGAGTGAATGGAGACGAATGGTACTTGGGACCTGACGATCTGTTGGAGTGTGAGCAGGGTAATATTTAGTGAAAGGATTCAGGGAAACCGGTTATTTTCATATAGTCGGACTTGAGTCCTGGAAATGGGAAGTACAATGCCTGCACTTTAAAGGAGGGGTTTGGGATATTGGCAGTTTGGAGGGATATGTTGTGTATCTTTATATGTATATGCTTCTAAACTGTTGTATTCTGAGCACCTCTGCAAAAACAGTGATAATGTGTGAGTGTGGTGAAAGTGTTGAATGATGATGAAAGTATTTTCTTTTTGGGGATTTTCTTTCTTTTTTGGGTCACCCTGCCACGGTGGGAGACGGCCGACTTGTTGAAAAAAAAATATATATATATAACATGTATATATATTTTACTATTTCCTAGGTAGTAGGTTGGTAGACAGCAACCACCCAGGGAGGTACTACCGTCCTGCCAAGTGAATGTAAAACTGAAGCCTGTAACTGTTTTACACGATGGTAGGATTGCTGGTGTCTTTTTTTTTTCTGTCTCATACACATGCAAGATTTCAGGTATGTCTTGATACTTCTACTTACACTTAGGTCACACTACACATACATGTACAAGCATATATATACACACCCCTTTGGGTTTTCTTCTATTTTCTTTCTAGTTCTTGTTCTTGTTTATTTCCTCTTACCTCCATGGGGAAGTGGAACAGAATTCTTCCTCCGTAAGCCATGCGTGTTGTAAGAGGCGACTAAAATGCCGGGAGCAAGGGGCTAGTAACCTCTTCTTCTGTATATATTACTAAATGCAAAAGGAGAAACTTTCGTTTTTCCTTTTGGGCCACCCCGCCTCGGTGGGATACAGCCAGTGTGTTGAAAGAAAGAAAGATTTTACTATTTTGATCTTCTAAGGCTATGTAAAATAAGATTGTGTTTGGATATTTCACCCCAGAGGGTTAAACCACCCAGGACAACCCAAGAGTGTCAGTGTATCACTGAGGACCGTATGTCTTATTTCCACTGGGGTCCTTAAATCTGTCCCCCAGGATATGACCCACACTAGTCGAATAACACCCAGGTACCTACTTCCTTGTTAGGTGAATAGGACAGCAGGTGTAAGGAAATGTGCTCAATGTTTCCACCCCTGTCAGGGATCAAACCCTGGACACAAGTGTGTGAGGCAAGTGTTGCCTACCAGGCCACAGGACATGAATACTTATAACATTACAATTGTTTCAGAGTGTAATATTCCTCAAAACATGGAAATTATTCACAATGTCTGACTTTACTAGGTTATCCTGGATTAAATATACTTAGAATGCTCTGTGGCTAAATTCCAGTGTTAGTATCATGAAATTTTAATAAATTTTGAATGAATATCATCTTTGTGCCACTTGTACATCCTGTTTGCTGGAACAACAGCTCCTGGTTCATTGTTTACTTCTACTCAATAGGCATACTGGTACATCGGGCACACAGTCATCTCCCGAGTAGTTAACCATGATACGTTGTGTGGATCCTGCTGGCCTTGGATTTTTTTCAAATGTATGAAAAGATGGAAGAAGACTCAAAGAGTTGCCCCGAGGTCAAAAATACAATAAGGTGGGAGATTTGTGGGTACAATCAAATGCGCATACTAGTACGCTGGACACATAGGCAGCATTTGCACACTAGTATGTTGGATACAGTTCAAGGGTTAAAAATACCCTTTTGTATGTAGTGTATATAATTATTTTATTTTTATTATCACACTGGCCGATTCCCACCAAGGCAGGGTGGCCCAAAAAAGAAAAACTTTCACCATCATTCACTCCATCACTGTCTTGCCAGAAGGGTGCTTTACACTACAGTTTTTAAACTGCAACATTAACACCCCTCCTTCAGTGTATATAATGTATGCATATATTTTAACACTAGATTCATGTTATTGTACAAAAACTATATAAAATAAATAAAATATTTGTATAAAGATAATGAAATTTTAGGTTTCTATATCTAAAGAATAAAAAACTTCAAAGATTTCGTTGTCCCAATAATGCCAGATTTCTAACATTTAATGTACAAGAGTGCACTGTATTAGACTATATCAAGTTTAATCTCTCAAGATTTCTGTGCACAATGAAATTTACAGCTCTTATTTGCATGCAATTTCTAAAATTTACAAAGATACATGGGATCCTTGATTAACGACATGACTGCATTTTACACTAAACTTGTTGTTATTCATATCAAATTGAAACAATTCCACCATCAGGACTGAAGAGCTGTCCAGTATATTAATGATACAGATTCTCCCAGTGTAGCTGTATGGCTCTAAACTAAATAACAAAAAGGCACAATACCGTGACTGGAACGATACACAAATAACCCGCACATAAAAGACAGAAGCTTACGACGACGTTTCGGTCCGACTTGGACCATTGACAAAGTCACCGAAACGTCGTCGTAAGCTTCTGTCTTTTATGTGCGGGTTATTTGTGTATGGCTCTAAACTGTTTCAATCATTCAAAAAGACAATTACAACAGCAAGCAATGCAACTGCTTCTGTATGAAAGGGCAAAAAATGCACCTTAGTGAATGGTTTAAAAACATGAACACTAATTAAAACTACAGGGTATCAATTAACAAGGGCCTTTCCTAATGTATTAAAGTCATGTATCAAAACGTTAGATTCTGACATATCATTAAGCAAGGAACTCATGTAAAACTTCCCCAAAAAACCTTGTCCCAAGGCCCATTCCATTACACAGATAATTCTTTTGTGCTGTTCACTTGTGCTCAAACTGATTTACTGTGGAATGAAAGATACTTGTAAAGAATTAATTGCAAATAGTTGTTAGTAATTAAGAAAATGGAGGATAAACTAAAGAAACTGTAAAAAAATTAAAAATTAATGCACAAAAAATACATTATAAAATAAAAAAGCAATACTGAGCACAATTCAAAATTCTAAAACTTGTATATTCTCACGGCTTCCTTCCCACCTTGCCATATAAGATGAGTCTGGCCGCAACAGAAGCATGTGCACTAAACGACGGAGGGTGCTGCAAGTGCATTCATAATGATCACCAGCATTAAAGAAAACACTTCTAAATGTTTGTATTTCAAGGGAACAACTGTGCAAGGTCCTTGAAAGTCTTTCAATGATTCTATATTTAACTATGGGAAATACTTTAAAATAGTTATCAAATTGCAAAAAACCTGAGAAGCCAACAAATTGTATATAGTATAGACAAATTATATATTTTTTTCATAATTTCATGAGTTGAAAATCTTTCATCATGTCTGTCTAATTTGGAAATTTTCTAGGAAGAAAAGGATGCATAAATATTTTCCTAACAAATCTACTGAAAATATTTTGCAGAAAATGGAAAAAGAAGAGGAAGAGAACTATTCAGATACACAACTATTTTACTACATTTATTAAGAGAATATTTCAAAATGCAACAAACATTTGCACTAAGTGTTAAACATGAGACTTAATAATGTATATTTTAACAAAAGATACATTACCAGTGATTTTGAGTCTTAATGAGGATTAATTCACAGACAGAAACATATTTCAAGTCATTCTTCAACTGAGTGAAATTTTATAAATGATACAATTAATTTATACCAAACAGATGACAAGTCTTACAAATATCCTCTAGACTCAAAATCACCAATAGTATAAAGAAGAATCATTTAAAGAGCATTCCAATTCTTGTTATAAACACATTTTACATAAATGCCATAGTAAGAGGATTAAGCTAAATTTTAATTAAGCAAGGCAAAAACGTCACGTGTGTGCTGCAGATTAATACACACCTGCTTCGGTAAAAGAGCATCCAAGCAGCTTGAAATCGACTAAGAAAAAAAATGGTTAATAGGTCTGAGATGTAGAGAATATTTGCAACACAATGTTTAGTCTAAAAATCTTATTTAAACTGGCTTCAGTGACTGACCACAAAATGTTTTAAAATAAATTTAAATATAAATCATCAATGATGAGTATTGAATAGCATTATAAAGTTTTAACAGGAAATAAGAAACTGATTCAACAAACTATTCCTTTGAGGTATGGTCCAAATAACTGGTATACTGTTAATACAGTGGACCCCCGCTTAACGATCACCTCCAAATGCGACCAATTATGTAAGTGTATTTATGTAAGTGCGTTTGTACGTGTATGTTTGGGGGTCTGAAATGGACTAATCTACTTCACAATATTCCTTATGGGAAAAAATTCGGTCAGTACTGGCACCTGAACATACTACTGGAATGAAAAAAGTTCGTTAACCGGGGGTCCACTGTATTAAACAAGAAATATGAAGGTTTTGTGAAATCCAATTTCAACACTTGGCAAGGGTGAAAATGTATGACTTTGTAAGCCTGCCAACTGCTGCACAAAGTGGTGCCTAAAATATACTTAAACCAGATAGAAAATGGAAGATTATTTTTGCAAGCCATAAACTGATAATCACATTTATTAGGTATTTCCCAACAGGGGAAAACTATAGTGGGGGTTGTCCAAAATTATTTTTTTTTTGTTCCTCAAAGGTTTTTGTTTAAAACAGGAGACCACCTTGTGCAAGTAACTTCAAATTCTCAAGGGTGGTGTATGGTGTTTAGGGAAAGGCTCATGTTATAGAGATGTACAGATGCTCTTTGGTAAATTTTATATTATCATCATGGGGGAGTGCCACTTGTGGGTGTGTGTGTGGGAAGGGGGGGGGGGATGGAAGGTACTCAGGCTCAATTCAGGGAACCAGAGCACAGATCCAATTCCCTAGATCAAGAGCCCCTCACCAGCATTAAGGAACCTCCCTTGAGGGGAGTTAATTTTATAGATCAAGAAGTTATTTTGCTTTCGGCAAGTTAAATTGAGAATGCCTTTTCTAATTAGTTTCAAACTTTCAACAAAGGTGTATCGTACATAGGAGGTGGCTTGTACTGCTCTTGTAGTGTGTAGATCCTAATCAGTCTATTTATATAACTGTGGGGTATTTTTTCCCATTAGATATCTCATGAATACCTCTTCTGATGGGCTTCAAACTTGAAAAGTTCATGCCACATTTCCTTGCTAAACTGTACTGATGGTGGTTGTTGAGTCTCGATATGCAAGTGTGGAGAGGGTTGAGGTTGCCCTGTACAATACCTGTACAAACCTCTAAACACACAGTGGGGCCCAGTACCCTATCACTACCCCCCCCTTTAACTACCCCACCCCCCCACTACCCCCCCCTTTAAACCACCACACCAACCCATTCCAACTTGCCATCAAATTAAATATTGGTAAAAAAAAAAAAGGGGGCCAACTTATTTTTAAAACAATTTTTAAACAAAAGGAGGAAAATGAGAAAAATTTTGGGAACATTCCTGGGGAAGTAATTTTAATTTTTTGAAACATTTTTTTAAAAAATTGTTTCTTAAATCCGGGAGAGGGAGGGGTTAAAATTTTTAAACCCTTTTGGGAGGAACCATTCCCTCACCAAAATCAAATTTTACCCCAAATTTCCCTTTACAAAATAACCTTTTCCCTTAAAAAATTTAAAATTGTTTACTGAAAAAAAAATTAACTCAAAGGGCTGAGAAAGTAATCCCTAAAAAACTATTTTAAATTTTTTTTTTTTTTTTTATAAGCAGCCATTTTGGGGGGGGCCCAAAAAAAAAAAATTTCCAAAAAAAAAATATTTCTCATTTCAAAATTTTTTCATTATAAATTTTTTTAAGGGGGCCAAAAAAAATTTCTTAAAAAAGTACAAAAAAAACCTAAAAAATTTAAAAATTTGGGCCCCAAAAAATTTTTTTTTTCTTTTTTTAAAAGGGATCCCCCGAGGTTCCCAAAAAGGAAAAAAAAAGCCCAAATTTTGTAATAAAAAAGGGTTTTTTTTTTTTTTTTACAACACCATTTTAAGGAAGTTTGACCCCAAGAAAGAAAATAAAACAAAAAAAACTAAAAAATAAAAACCCCAATCTAATATTCACTGTTTTTTGCCAAGGTGAGAAACAACGTTTAAAATTTTCTGTTTAAAGAAAAAAAAAATTACCTGAAAAAATTTAATTTTTTTACATCATCAGGCAATTTTTTTTAAATATAATAAATATAATAATAAAAATTATAATTTTAAAATATATATATATATATATATATAATTAAAAAAATTTATATATATAATAAAAATAATATATATATAATTATTATTTTTTTTTTTTTTTTTTTTTCCAAGTGGTGTTCCCACCGAGGAGGGTAAACCCAAAAAGAAAGAAAACCCCCAAAAAAAAAATATTTCATCATCTTTCAACACTTTCACCACACTCACCATTATCACTCCTTTTGCAGGGTGCTAGAATCACAGTTTAGAAGCTATATGTTAAAGATCAAACATATCCCTCCAAATGCCAATACCCCAAAACCCCTCCTTTAAAGTGCAGGCATTGTATTTCCCCATTTCCGGACTAAGTCCGACTAAAAGAAAAAACCCGGTTTCCCCTGAACCCCTTCACAAAAATATTACCCTGCCAACTCCAACGATCGCGGCCCCCAAGACATTCGTTCCATTAATCCCCATTAACACCTCATGCAGCTTGCTGGAAGTCCAAGCCCCCCGCCCCCAAAACCCCTTTACCCCTCTTTCCCCCCTTTCGAGGACGACCCCCACCCCTTTTCCTTCCCCCCATGTTTTATGCTTTCCATGTCTTTACTTTGACCATTCTCTCAAATGACCAAACCACCCCAAAAACCCCTCTTCTGCCTCTGACTAATGCTTTTATTAACCCACACCTTCTCCTAATTTCCCCACCCCAATTTTCTGCATAAATTTACACCACACTTGCCCTTTGACAGGAATCTCCCTCCCCCAACCGTCCCTCGCTGCTGCATTCCACCCAACTTCACATCCCCATAAGAGTGTTGGTACTACTATACTTTCATCTTCCCCTTTTTTGCCTCCATAATAACTTTTTTGACTCCCAAACCCAAGCACCCCTCACCTTTTTTCCCCCATCATTCTATGATTAACCTCATCCTTTATAAATCCTCCCCCCACAGCAACTCCCAAATATCTGAAAACATTCACTTTTCCATACTCCCCCTCCCCCAATTTTAATCCCAAATTTTTCTTTATCTAAATCATTTTATTCCCTCTCACCTTTCTCTTTTTTTAGTTACTTTAACTTTCATTTTAAAAATTTAAAAATTAACCTTTTTTTTTTTTTTTTTGCTAAATTTAATTTTTTTTTTTTCCCCCTTTTTATTTTGAAAACCCTTCATTTTTTTTTTAAACCCCTTTTTTATTAAAACCCCTTAATTACTTTTATTTTCCTTTTTTTTTTTTTAATTATATTTTTTTTCTTACCTTTTTTAAAATTTTATTTTCTTGAAATTGCCAATTTCCCTATATCTTTTATATCCCTTTTCTTTTCCTAAATTTCTAAAAACTTCCCCCTTTTAAAACGCAATATTGTTCTTTTAAAATTGTTAAACCCCCCTGGGTCCTTGTCCTTTAATTTTTTAATTCGTCTTCCCCTTTTTCCAAATCCCCCCGTATATTTTTTATAATAAATTTTTTTAATTTTTAAATTTTTTTCCCCTTTTTTATTAAAATAAAATTTAATTTGGTAATTCCCCCTTTTAAATTTTAAAAAAGAAAATAAAAAACCCCCCCCTTTTAAAATTTTCAGATATGTTTGTCTTTCCCCCTTTTTTCCGAATGGGAGTACAGCATTTACAACCCAAGCTTCACACCCATACAAGGGTGTTGGTACCACTATACTTTCAAATATTCCTTTCTTTGCCTCCATTGATAATGTTTTTTTTGTCTCCACACATACCTCAATGCACCACTCGCCTTTTTTCCCCTCATCAATTCTATGGCTAACCTCATCCTTCATAAACCCATCTGCTGACACATCAACTCCCAAATATCTGAAAACATTCACTTCTTCCATACTCCTTCTCTCCAATATGATATCCAATTTTTCATTATCTAAATCATTTGATACTCTCATCACCTTACTCTTATCTATGTTCACTTTCAACTTTCTACATTTACACACCCTCCCAAACTCATCCACTAACCTTTGCAACTTTTCTTTAGAATCACCCATAAGCCTTCATCAGAAAAAGTAACTGTCATTTCCAATTTGTATTTGATCCCCCCAAAATTTAATCCTCCCCTCTCCCGAACACCTATCATTTATTTTCTTTTAAACCCCCAAAATATAAATATATTAAAAACCATGGGAATTTTACACATCCATGTCTATGATCACTTTTAGGGAAGTATCCTCCTATCTTCACACACCCAAAACTTAAACCTCACTTCCTTTAAAAATTTTACAGCTTTTAGTAATTCTACCTTTTCCCATATACAGTGGACCCCGCAAAACGATGGCATCGCATAGCGATTTTTCCGCTTAACGTTACTTTTATCGCCAAAATTTTTGCCCGCATACCGTTTAAAACCGCTACGATTTTCGTCCGAGACGCGTCAATGTGCTCGCCAGCTCACATGTGCCGCTCCGTCCCTTGTTTACCAGCCACCTCCGCGTAACATCCATGCTCACCGGATATTCGTATTATTCGTTTTTCGGTCTGTTTCTGGAAAATAATGACCGGGCCCAAAAGCTTCTAGTGCAACCCTGCTGGAAACAGGGTGAAATTCATACTCCCAAATATGAAAATTTTCATTATCTATCTCTGGATACTCTCATCATTCCAATCCATGTTCCAATTTTTCAAATTAATAAATTCATGTACTGCAACTCTTTAGATCACCCTACCAGTATCATAGTGTTGTCACTTTCAATGCATTTATCCCTTTACACACTCTGCAGGAACGATACAACCTTTGCAATTTTCTTAG